ACACAAGCTGTTCATCCCCAGTCTACTGAAACATAAATATAAGAGCCTTTAGAAACTCTTCCAGCAATCTGAAGCCATCTGGACATCCAAGAGCATGATCACAGGACTTGCCCTATCAAATGGCTCACAGGCCAGTCTATGTGGTACCAAACTCCAGAGGAAAACCACACATGCTGCAAGCTGTGAGACAGCTGTACAAAGCAGGTCCATGTTTCAGTTCTGTAATGTTTTGGAAATTAAATCACAAGCTGGGGCCCTTTCCCAGATTTAGTTTAAGAAAAACTGACTTTATTTATATATTTATTTTTGTTTGGTACCAGGGATCTAACTCAGGATCTTGCACTTGCCAGGCTGGTGCTTGTGCTGCTGAGCTATCTCCCCAGCTTAAGCTAACTTTAGAAGACAGGCAACTTCAGTTTCTGTGGACATTAAGTGACTTCCCCAAGGCTAATGTCAAGAGTAGGAACTGAAGAGGAAATAGGGAAGAAAGAGACTAGATGACTGTTTCTTGCCTCTTTTCTCTCACTGAAGCCCCTGCAGCAGTAAGAGATAATGAACTCACACTTCAAATGAGTTGAAAGCAAATTCAGATTTAGGATAAATAGCTTAGGCAGAATATTTCCATCCAGCTACCTCCAGATGTCAAACCTAGCACATCTTAAAGCCCAAACTAAGCTCTCCTTTCAAAACTAAGCTTCTATCAGGCAAGGTGGCACATACCCATAATCCCACCTATGAGGAAGGTTGAGACAGGAGGACTACACATTTAAGTATAGTGTAGGTAATTCAGTGAGACCCTGTCTCAAAATAAAATCCAAACCTAGCTGGGAGTGTAGCTCAGTGGTAGGGCATTTGCCTAGTACGTGGCAAGGTCCTAGGTTTGATCCCCAATATTGCCAAAATAAAAAAAAACCTAAGCTTCCTTCCCAGCTAGTTCATTTCCAACAGCACTATCTTTACTCATTGCCCTAGATCTTGGAAGCAATGAATTCTCAAAACAAGGCTGGCATGTTGATTCTTCCTACAAAATCCCTTAAGGTTCATAAAGCCAGAGATAAATTCAAGGTAAAGATCTGGGTGTACATGGTATAAGGGATTTTGTCTGCTATGTAGGAGTTCACGGGCCAAAACATAGGATTAAAAATTTTTAGTGCACGAAAACCAAAAATAGCAATGCTGTTTTTCCCACTTAAGAGTCATGATTTTAGCAGGTCTAATGGCCAGCACTTGGATGCTGAAGCAGGAGGCTCACCATGAATTCTAGACCAACCTGAAGTGCACAGCAGAGTTTAAGACTAGCCTAAATGACATAGGGAGACTCTCAAAAGAAAAAAAGTTACAATTTTACATAAAAGTCATCACTTCCAACTCTTTGTGAAGTTCAAATAACGATCTGTACTATTTTTTTCTGTACCTAGTACCGTACTGAACTGTAATGCTCAGTAAATGTTCGACAGGGGGTGAAGAAAGGGAGATAAAGCAGACAGGGATAGGGTCATAATCCTGGCTAGAACAATAATTTATATGTTTTACTCATTCAGGCCAACCTGTGCCACAAACCCATAAGAAAGATACCTCCTTCTCTGAAGCTGCAGAGACGCTGGGAACAAGGGGAGTCCTCAGCTGACAGCCAGATGTCTGGGTGTGAGAGGAAGCCAAAAGCCCAAGAGGTCAGGAGTGGAAAAGAAGGACTTAAGAGGATTGGGAGACCCAAAAGCTAAGCCAAACCAAAGCCCTTCCCCACCCTTTCTGCCCCCCACCCCCAGCCAGCCAACCATTTGCTACAGCCTCCAGGGTATGGGAGGGGACTTGGCAAGACCAAAAAGCTCATTTCTAGCAGAAAGGTCCATCTGCAGCTGGAGTGCAGCACCGAGGCCCTCCTCACTAGTCCAGTATGAGGACTGCAGAGCCATCAGGATTGGTCCTTGAACACAGCCTCTGGGCAGCAGGGCTCTCTTCAGCTTACTCTCCTATCATGTGAAGCTCTCTTCCTCTTCCCCAGCATTCAAAAAGTGTTGGAGTCACCAAGAAGGTGGAACTGAGCCCTAGGATTTATTTATATTTAACTCCTGTTCTTCTTATGCACAGGGAAGCTCTCTCCCACTCTTCCCTCAAACTTGACTCTGAAACCCTCCAGACTGGTTCCCTTCCTGCTCCATATCTCCAGGTTCACTGCTGTTTATAAACAGACCTCATGGAGAAAGGGCTCCTGCTACACTTTCACAAGCAAGAAGTAGGAAAATGACCTACAGTGTGTGGAAAAACGATGAGCAGAGATTCTTGGCAACAGGGCATTTTTGCAATGGTCAAAGGAGAGACAGAAGGCATAGACCCTGGGTATAAACCCAAAATAGTTTCCAAATATCCTCAGCCAATGGAGTGTTCCCATGGGGCGAGTGTGGGAGTGTGGGAGAACCCAAAGCAAGGATGCCTGGTGCACTTTGCACTGGGCACTAGCTCCCGGGCAACACGAACAAAAGCCTGTCCCTTGGAATATCACGAGTAGACATGGAAAACACTACATAGTAAAATGACAACTTTTAACATGTTCAGCTCTGTGCCTGTGCTACGTACTATGTACACTCACACTGAATATCATGATACATGCATGATCTCTGGCAGAACTTGGCATACAAGAGACACGCATATCCCCTCTGGCTGCCGTGACACCACTCACCTACAGAGTTTATTTATCCCGTACTCATCCCATGCAAACATTGCTAGAGATATGCCGTTTGTCTGCGTGTGTTTCAGTACCTTCACTTGATCTCAGAACAAGCTCATACCCCAGGCACTTCATCTTATACTATAATCTGGTGATAGAAAAGTATTTGGCATACTTGCCCCAGCTAGGATATGTTGGGATACTGTACCCAATTGCTCACCTGAGACATGCTATGTGGAGGGAAAGCAGAACCAGGAATGGAAAGCTTAGACATGAGAGCCTGCTGGCAGCACCCAAGCTGAGGAAGCTCAATTCTCAGACAGAAAACTCAATAATAAAAATAAGCACAGACAGAACCTCAGAGCTGTAAGAACACTGCCAGCTATAACTTACTGAGAAGAGGGAAGGGGAAAGATTTATTTGGAGGGCTTCTGCAGATTTCCAAGTAGTCTTTTCCACATACCCACAAGGGTACTCCACAAGGACTGGGTACTAGCCTGGGAACTCCAGCAGGTCTACATAAAACCAGCCTTATCCCAGACCAGCAGAATGGAAGCCAGAAAACCAGAGAAAAGGACAGAAAGAAGACTTGAAAAGAGTGGACAGGAAGCAGGTCTACCACGGACAGCCATCACCGAGGGAGGCAGACAGGTGCTTTCGGGTAAGCAGACCCAACAGTAGTACCTTCCGTCAGCAGGGAAGAAAGCTCTGCTGACAAGGCTGGAGATAGAGGGAGGAGGACCTGCCCCCTCTCTGAGCCCATCTGTCCCCTTGCCCTGGTCAGCAGTGGGGAGCCAAGGGAGGAAGCAGAAGTGAAACCTGGGAATTCTGAGGAGGAGTCAGCCAGAATGACTGAGCCAAGGTGAGCTCACTGCTCTGTCCTCCTCACCCCTAGCCTCACTGGCACACACTACCCTCCACCTGCCTCAGGGCCTCCCACGCTCTCATTCCAGGTGATCGCCCCCTGCTCCCAGCCTCATCAAAGCCTGCCAACTCCCCTGGGAGCCAACAGCGCAACCTGGCTCATCTCCTTTCCCCAGAAGCTGCTCTAGAAGCAAAATCCATGCCTTCCCACAAGCACTTCCTGGCCTCAAGTTCCTTGGGAGGGAGCCAAGGAAACACCATGGCCTCCTGATCCACACTGCAGTCTTGCTCAGGAGCCCCCATCCCATCTAGAGACTTTCCCCACCAGTGTCACCGCTCAGGCAGTGAGATGGCAGGATGCCACTTACAGCACCTCCAAGAAGCTTCCCACAGCTTTCCCAGGAAGTGGGAGGAGAATTTCCAGGGAGGAGAGACTTAAGAGCATGTTGGGACACTAGCAGCTTTCCCACCTGCTACCCAGGCACCCAGGCTCTTCCAGCTTCCTGTAAAGAAGAGTCCCACGCCAGCAGCCCCTGCCCTCCTGGCCCCCTGGCCCTCCCAGTCTCTCTGCTTCTTGAGCAACAACCATACCAAGCTGTCTCCTAGTCTGTTTTCTCTGTCGTGGGCCAGTAGAAGATACTGCTGACTAATCCCAAACTCATGGTGGGCCCCCAGTCCCGAACACAGAGGCAACACTCAAGGAAACCTACAGACCTGGTCCTTGCCAAACTGAAAGGTTTATCTGTGGTTTCCTAGGAATGACAGATAGCCCAGCAGACTCCCCATTCCCGTGCCCCACATACACCAGTGCCCGCTCTCAGTCAATCACCTGGAGCACAAGTCCCTTCTCTACTTCCCACACACCTGGGAAGTCTCCCTTCCCAGTCCCCCAGATACCAAGCCACACAGGGTAACATCAGACACCCGCCTGTTTCTCAATCATGATGTTGCATCAGCCCCCACCCTACCCAAAATATCCTCACCCCCACCACCTCCTCTCCTCTCCAGCCATCTCCATGGTGACAGCAGCATGACTAATGACACCCTATCAGCTTCAGACTCAGGAGCGCAATTCCCCCTCCCCCTCTTCAACACCCCTCCCCCCCGGGATTTCTGCAGATTGGATGCAAACCAACAGTGCCAGGGACATTCTCCAGAGATTTCCAGGGGTAGGGAGTGGGTTGCATGTCTTTAAAAATAAAAAATAAAAACAGTTCAACAAACCAAACCCAACTGCACCCAAACCAGCCAGCTGAGAAAGCAAAAAGAATCCAAACAAAACCCACACAGGCCTGAGAATTCATTGGCCGCCCACACTCCCAATGCCCCTCCCCCTCAGCTGCTGCTACACACAGTGGGAGATTAAGGGATCACCAGAGGAGACCCTTTATTTTTATCCAATCCAGTCAAACACTTCATCCCCACCACACACACACACACACACACACACACACACGAACACACGAGGTACCTTGACAGCCGCCCCTTGTGTCCACGGCCCGGCTCCTTCACCAGCCTTTATTTCCACCTGCAAAAGAAACCAGAGAGACTGATGAGCTAGGCTAGTAGCAGAAAAGAAGCAAAGTCCTTCCTCAGCAACCCGGAGGACACTGAAGGGGAAGGAAGGGGGGAGGAGGAAGAAGGAAGTGAAGGGAAGGGGCCTCGGGAAGAAAGGCTAGCGGGGACCATCTTCCTGCCTCCAGCTGCCGCCCAGACCCGCACTGATGGGTTCCTTCGCCTTCTAGTGTTTTTGTTTTCATTTCTCCGTTCTGAACCCTCCCGAGATCTGAGAGGGCACTGGTCCCTCGTCCCCTGCCAGCGTCCGGCCTGCCCGTCCCTCCTGGCCCTGTGCGCACTACCTCTGCCGGCCTCCTCTGCTGCATCGGCCGCCGCCGGGCCTCCCATTATCCCCGCCGGAGGGAGCGCACGCAGGGAGGCACTGCAGAGGCGGCGGCCGCCAGCTGCCGTGAGCTCCCCACCCTCGCTCCCCGCAAGAGGCTGGGGCGGCGCGCACGCCAGCCAATCCCGCGCCCGGCCCTGCCCCCGCCGGCGGACCTGCCCAGCCGGGAGGCGGGGGCGCCGCGAGGGTGCAAGGAGCCGCCAGGGCTGCTTCTCAGGCCTGCCGCCGCTCCCTAGCAGGCGGGGGATCCCGGGGCACCCCCTGTCTCCTCCCGAGGGCCACCCCGAAGGAAATATGCAGAAGGCGTCCTCTGTGCCTCCGGGGTCGAAGATGACACACAGCGCCTGGCGTAGGACAGACTCTTGTGGGATTCCCTCCCACTCCCCACCCCCGTCGCTCTACCCAACCTTAAGCTGGCAGCCACAGGACACAAGAGAGTCGCCACAGCCTTCAGCCTTCAGTCCTCCAAGACGAAAAAGCCGAGGCAACGGAACCTTTACCCCACTTTGCAGATAAGGAAACAAGGCAGACAAGTGAAGTAACTTACGCAAGGTGACACAGCTAGAACACAGCAGAGCCGGACTTCAGGCAAGGTTTGTGCCCTCTAAAGACAGTTCTGCATTTTCACTTCCCCTGCCCTCCAGTACCCACCTCAGAAAACAGGCTGCTTCTGGGAGCCCACAGTTCCTGTGACTCAGCCTCCCCAATTCAGCTGCGTTCTCTAGGGACACTCAAACACCCACTTTATTCTACCAGGCTCACTCAACGCTGCTGCAAGAACACACCCCAGCTCACCAATGGTTTCCCTCTCTCAGAGGCGCTCCCCCAAGAGTCCCCAGGGTTCAGGACTTTCCTTAGCCAAAAGAGAAAGAGGCGGGATGGTAGTGCAGACCCCAAATGCTCTGACCTTCTAATTCTCGACTCAAAGCCTCTGAAGGGGGCTGGGGTGATAGCTCAGTAGAATAAGTGCTCAAGCCTCTGAAGGCTGCAATGCCCTATGACTGAAGGGCAAGAACAGAGAACAAAAGGGTAGCCCTACAGCCCACTCTTGGATTCAGTTCCTTTTCTGCCCCAGCCCACCCCCTGCAGCTGAGCACCCCAGAGTGTTCACATCCTACACCTCCAGTAGCCACAATTTTGAGTGCTATCTCAGGCTGCAGCACAGTGAAGGGGAAGGACAGAGAGAGGAGGAGGAAGGAGAGGGGAGAAAGAAAAAGGGGAAGGGGCCACCATCCTGCCTCCAGCTGGCCCCCAGGACCCAGCCAATGTTAACTTACCTGTCTGAGCCTCTCTTGGCTCATCTGCAAGATGGAACTACCAGCTACTTCATACAGCTGTGGGGCTTGCATGAAGAAATGCAGCATATTATCTGCCACTCTGTCCATGCTGTTAGCTACCAGCACTCTTCACTTCTGGAAGAGCTCACTGGGTGCTATTTCTCATTCTCACAGATGAGTAAGCTGAGGCCAGAGAGAAGTGACTCATAGGACTAGGTAGGCTGCATGACAGCCCCTGAGCCAGTGATTCGCTCTATTACCCACTCCACCACAGATGCCTAATTGTCCCTCCCCCGGGTCCCAAGGGGGTACTCCAAACAGAATGAGCTGCCTTAGGAGAGACAGCAAAGCTGGCCTCTGGTGACAAGGCACCAGGGCCCACACCTGCCTTCCCCTGGGGACAAAAGGCAGCACAACTGGGACTGTCACAGTAAGAAGGGAAACCATTTACAAGACAGAGTAAGAAATAAGGTCTTAAACCACAGCTCTGGGTGGAAAAATGGGCTTTTTGTGCCTTTTAACTCTTATTCTGAGCAGACCAAGTACAGTCCCTCCTTAATCCTGGTCTTCAAAATCTTTTCTCACTCCCTTTATCCCACACAGTCTTTTGGTGGCTAAAACAGACGACCACTGAATGGACTGTATCAATTTAATACTGTTGCTGCTGTTTGTCAAGCCCCTGCTACATACTAGGCTTTGCTCCAACCACAGTGTAGGATCATCTCATTTGGCTTGCTCCACCCACAGCCTTGTCTATTACAGGGAAATGGGAGGAGCTTAGAGATGTCAAGTTACCATTAACATAACTGGTGAGCGGTGGGCTGTGATTCAAACCCAAGCCTCTCTCATTCCTGTTCTCTTAACACTCCCTTCCCCCACCCCAGTATCAATTCCAGGGAGATGCAAAAATAATGGGTTGCCCAAACTACTTCCTTATAAGCTGCAGATCTGAGAATAGTAATATTTGCATGCTTGGAGATTGCTCAATCCTGCTCCTTCTGCCTGGCTGCCCCTCCTCCTCATAACAAACTAATGTGGGACAAGTCTTAATGCAAACAGTGCCTTCCCTCTGCCAGTTTCTCAGTCGTCAAGTCTCCATGAGTACTCAGGCTCCTCCAGTGTTCTCAGGAAGCAGTATACTGCTTTCTTCAGGGCACCACTCACAACAAAGTACAGTTATTTATTTACATGGCAGTCTTCCCCATGTACGCAGGGGCCCTGGCTTCCCCCTTTACTAGGCTGCATGGAATTGGAATGTGCTGAGCTGAGTTTCTCCAAGGAGAGGGTGGAGAGGCAGGGGGCTGGGCACTGAGATGGAAAGATTCCTTTTCTGGGTGGTCTCACTTAGGTCCCCAAGGAGCCAAGGGGACATCTGCTCACCCAGAAAAGCAGGACCTGCCATAAGGGAACTGTAGCTGAATCCCAGATTTGTTCAGCCAGCATGCATTCATGACTAGCTTGCAGGAACCACAGAACCACATTTTTACCCCAAGTGCCTGTCTCCCAATGCCTATCCCAGCAGCAGGTCCCCATTCTACCCTCTACTATCCCAAAGGACCCTGTAGTTCCCAAGGCAGCTGGCCTCTCTTGTCCTCATCCCACCTTGTCCTCCTCCTCTCTGCTGAGGCACCTGCCATCGCAAGGTTCAGCACAGTCACAGAGGTGCACTCCAGTGCCACTCTGCCTGCAGGAAACTTCACCACATGTGACTCTCCTTCTATCTCTATACCCTCACTCTACACTTGAGGATTCACAATGGCAAGCCCAGAGGTGCATGGGAAACTTCTGACAATGGGTCACAGACCTCCACACAAGGTGAATGAATCATCTATTTTCAGTACACACACCAAGAATCCCAGGAGCATGGACACCCACAGGTGAAACTCCACCCAGACAAAGACCAGGCATCGTGACTATCTCCTAACACCTATTAGAGGGGTGGGAAAGGCTGTAATAGCAACCAAGCACTAACCTTATGGAGGCCCCACACTTGGAGACACAATATAATGACTCCTATTTAACCTTCAAAGCAAACCAATGAGGTGGGAGTTATTCATGCCCACCTTAGTGATGGAAAAACTGGGATAGAGAGAGGCTAAACACCTTACCTCTAAGATCACAAAACTAGAAAATGTGCAGGACTTACTATCCCTCATTTGTAGTGCTACTGTCAGAGCTCATCATTAGCTCTACGATTTCCAAGCCCACCTACCCTACCTGGCAGGGGAAACAGAGAAACAGGCTTCTCTCCCTTGCCGTGACAGTGTCCTAAATGAGTCACTCTCCACAGGGATTCCTTCAAAGCTGGTTCTAGCCCTGCTTCCTCTTGGAAGCCTTCTCAGATTACCCCCCCCCCTCTGTTAGCCTTCAGCACATGTACAGTCTCATTTGACACTTGGAATGTGTCCATATGTCCTGCATCCCAAACCAGAAAGAGGGGAGAGTTGTGCTTCTCCAAAGCTGCTCTGCCCTTTCAAAGTACCCTGAGGGCTTTTGCCCCATGTTCCACACACGGAAGGCACTTAGAATTCACTGTGAGGGAAGTCTGTGACCTCCTTCCCTCTCTGTCACACAAAGGATCCTGCCAAAGAAACCCAACACCCACCCCCCCCCACACACACACACACCTTCAGAGCCTATGTTTGAAGTCCCGGGTGTCCACGCATCAATTTCCACCCAAGTAATTGCAGCCCATCACACACACATCATTCCCTATATTTGAAACTCTTTGCGGTTGTCATGGGAACTGCCTTTGCCTTCATTCACTGATCAGGCCTCACAATTAGCTTTGGCAGCGGAAGTCTGTGTCAACTGCAATGGCAGGGAGGAGAAAGCCGAGGAGCAGCATCAATAACAAGAAAAAAGATGCCTCTCCTTGAAGATGCAGCAGACCCAGACTGAACCAAGGCACTCACTGAAATCTGAGGGAAACCAGTGAAAAGCAGTGAACTCCACCTTCTCTATTCCACAAAACAGTCAGAAAGCACCCAGTATCTGATTGCCATCCACTTTCTGACAGGGCCACACTGCCTATACCCACATGCCCTCCTTGATGCTTGTAGCAGGGCATATTCTAGGAAGCTCCTCAAGGTCTGCATATTCCAAATTCCACGGTTGTGGACCACCAAATGGTATAGGACCTAAGCATATAACAAGGGCCATACAAACCACAGAGTATGCAGGATACAAATGCCAATGAGTTTAGAAATCTGGAGGCAGCCTCAGAAGAAGACCTCCAAGAAGAATTAATGCAAAGCATCTAATCTTCCACTTCTAGGGTCTGTGAACACCCTCGGATGCGCCAGCCACCTGCCTGTATCCTTCTCCTCCCCTGGCACTTGGCACAAGCGT